TTGTCACTTGTATGAGAACTGGGTGCACAAATTTAATGCACATTCACATGTTGTGCATGTCTCCCGAACTAGCAAAAATTGTTTCAGAATATCAAGTTATTTATTTGACTTGGCAATTACTGGCAATGACTGGGGTCAGCTGTCATGGCCCACGACTGGGTCAGCCGACATGGCCCACGACTGGATCAGCCGACATGGCCCACGACTGGGTCAGCCGACATGGCCCACGACTGGGTCAGCCGACATGGCCCACGACTGGGTCAGCCGACATGGCCCACGACTGGGTCAGCCGACATGGCCCACGACTGGGTCAGCCGACATGGCCCACGACTGGGCCAGCCGACATGGCCCACGACTGGGTCAGCCGACATGGCCCACGACTGGGTCAGCCGACATGGCCCACGACTGGGTCAGCCGACATGGCCCACGACTGGGCCAGCCGACATGGCCCACGACTGGGTCAGCCGACATGGCCCACGACTGGGTTAGTCGACATGGCCCACAACTGGGTCAGTCGACATGGCCCAAGACTGGGTCAGCCGACTATTTCTGATAAAATTCTGATATATTGAGTATTATAAATATTCAACACACATTGAATTTTTTGTCTTCTATCAGCATAACAATTTATACTTGAGTGGTTTGGACATTTGTGTAAGTATTTATTGTTCGAATATTTTGGCATATTGAGTGGTATATTTCTGTCAGAAATAACATTTAATGAATGATCATTAGCACACAACCAAACCATTGTTTTTTTTACACTTGTATAATTTGGGGTGTAAATATTATTTATTGTTCGGTACTTTCTGCTTTTCCAGGGAGTAGTGGATCTAACCATAGCCAAGAAAAAGAGCGACGTAGTCGTAAAGGCAGCTCAGGTCAAGGAAGTGGTAGTGAATGCGAGAACTTACTTTCAAGAGGACGAACTTCCAGTCGAGATGAACTACCACCTCCTCCTCCACCACCTCCTAGACAGCTTGGCAGTGTGCCAGAGGACATTGCCGGTAGCCGACAATCATTTCGTATGGCTATGGGAAACCCATGTGAATTTTTTGTGGATGTGATGTGAAGTGAATTGCAGTCGTCATCATTTCATGAGTACATATGTTGTTCGTATTGCCAGCAAGGCACCTCTGCACAAAACCATGTTGATGTAGTACATAAATAATATGGCTGGGTGGTACACTTGCATGTTAGGAATAAAATGTAGCAACTTGAGGGGACTTGTGTTGGTCAGCATTGTTGTGTGTATGCCAGAGACGTAAATTATGAACTGTTTTAGAATATTTCGGGGGGGGGGGGGGGTAGGATAATATAAGAAAATTGTATAATACACAAGTGAAATGAAATGGTTAGGATCAACTGAATGAATTCAGTTGTGACCAATGGTGGAGAGACTCAACAAACAAACAACAAGGCTGGGAAGGATGACTATGTCTCAATGCAGTTTTCCCATCAACAGCAACAAGAATACATCGTAGATTTTATAAAGTGAATATGTGCAATTGCTGACCTGGTTTCTTGCAACATATTTTAGTTGGCAAAGAGGTGACCAGCGAACTATGCAACTCCTTTGCCAAATTATCACTGAAAGAGGGTCTTTGTAGATTTTCTAAAAACACTTTTATTTATGTTTAAATCCAGTTCTGTATTGCGTCCAGTTGTCACCGACTCTTCCAAGATTAACTATACGTGTCCGATATACACATTGTTTTTTTATTGGCTCGCATGTAACGTTTTATATTATTGCGACGTTTGTTAGTATTTTCAGATTTTTTACATAACTTCTGTATCTACTAAGTTAACATTTCATCGTCTCTCCTGAGAGGCACTATGAACCCATGTAAAGACAGTAAATCAGACATTTAAACCTTTAAATAAATTCTCATAGTAAACTTGCATAATTTTTCTCCATGTTTTGAATAAATCATGTACACAATGTGAAATTGGTTCAAATTTAACAGAAATTATTCAAAAAAACATACAATTCTTAAATGTGTTCACCAACATTGGGGGGGGGGTAAACAAAAAAAATTAAAGCTTTTGTCAATTTCAACCTTTAGATCTCAGTAAATTTTCCCCTAAAATGTTGGTGCATTATTTATTTTTGATATAATTTCTTCAATTTGGGTCAATATGAGCATAATTTACCATCGACTACTTTTTTTGCTCAAAGTTTTCAGAAAAACTTCCGCAAGTTTTGGTCTTTTTGGTGAAACATGACAAAGCTGACTTTGGCATTCAATCACACTCTCATTCAATCTGTATTTTAACCATTGCTTGGTAATTAGCGCCACATTCAATCTGTATTTTATTAGTGTTATGTATTTATTCTGACAATTGCTTTTATTCTTTGCTACTGATGATGTGAAAACTCGTGTCATTAGGAGGTTGTGTATTTCCATCAATTATAATTGATCTTTCTTCTTTAAAAGTATTTAATTTTATCTGACCCCCCCCCCCCCCCTTCCCATGTAATTATTGGCCACCCTGTGAGATTGGCGACCATAAGAAAACTGTAGTTCTGTTTTTGTAATCAATGCAAATTTGTTGACTTTGTCTCTCCTATCTGTGTGCTGGATTGCTACTGTCTTCAGTTGGTATGAGTTGAATTTCTAGTCGCATCACTGTGTTGGTGTTTGGTATTTTCCACTCAAAAAAAAGTTACACAAAATTCTGTTAACATAATGTGTATTTGGTTGATACAAATAAAATAATATGTCTTGATGTAAATTGGTTTTGGATACAACAGCAGCAGTACTCGAGATCCGTGAATCACTGCGCTTCCTTTCTTCCATGCCTTAACATTATGCAGGTAACGTGCAGTGATTTTCCTACATCTTTCCCAGATGCTGAAAAAAAAGTGCAAATTTTTTTTATATATATATAAATAAAACAGTTGAAAGCAGTGTGTTGATACTTGTAATGAGGTAAAATGTGCATTTGATTTGACGATAGAAATTTGTACATTTCGTGTGTGTGCGGAGTACAGTATGCCAAATTGGGCTAACACTTGTACCAAGAGGTTCTTTAAATGTGTATTCATGTGCATGTAGCAGATGTTTATATATAAGTGTTCTCTAAAACTGTTGTCAGCTATTTCTCCTTTTGTTAGTAACCAGCAGAAGGAGATTACTACGAATTGTTGTTTATTATATCTCAAGGCTGTATTTTGTAGAGTTCATTGTCGCACTTGTTAGAAAGATCTTCTATGTTTTATGTCAGTTTCCCATGGAGGGCCCATGGAATTAATTTGCTTACTGTACAGAGATTGCTGTAATCATGTGATATTCACATGATTATTGCATGTATGTCTCATGACCAGTCACATGCTGATCACATGATCATAACATGGTGTCTCATGATACATATCAGTGTACTGTTAATGTTAGATATGTCTCTAGAAAAAAAAACACTTGATAAGCTGAACACAATAAAATATTGAAAGTTTATAAATGCAAAAATAATTTATCATGTTTATAATTTTTGTTTAAAAAATGATCTCAACAGATTTGTTCCATGGGTTTTTAATGTTGTAAATTCAGTTCTGTAAAGTAGACTATGCTCCGTGTATTGATGCACAGCCCTTGCTCACTATTTTAAACAAAAAAGGTTTATTTTAAAAAATTTTGTAAAGCATATTCTAGTCACCGAAATTATGTTGTACTTCTTGACTTGGCATCCTCCTGCCCTCATTTTTTGGGATTTTGCCAAACTTTTAAGAAATGAGGGGCGTAATACGGTATCAAATTTTCCGTAACTTCTGTGTTTTTTTTTTAAAAATAGAGAGCTGTTAAAGGCATTTGTTGTAAAATAAAAGTATGTAACACAGAATGTTGTTTTTATGTGTCATGTTTATAATAGATAGGGCCTCGCCTGTCACCCATAAGACTCTTCTTCCTGTTGGTAAACAGTGCTTAGGATAACATTGGATTTAATTTGTATCTGGAGCATGGTTTACAAATTTTGTTCTATTGCAGAAGCCCATCCATCCTTGAGCGAATTTCATGTAAACAAGATATTTTACACTCATTGTTACGAGTCCCATATACAGCAGGATGTGACGTGACGACCAGTCCTTTACAACAAAACTTGTAGACAATGACAATCACCACAGTTTAATGATTGATGGATGCCACAGAATGCTAGGGTCAGGATGTATGACCTTTACTGGGTCAAGTAGAATGCCACGATGTATGACCTTTACTGGGTCATGTAGAATGCCACGATGTATGACCTTTACTGGGGTCATGTAGAATGCCACAATGTATGACCTTTACTGTGGTCACGTAGAATGCCATGATGTATGACCTTTACTGGGTCATGTATAATGCCACGATGTATGACCTTTACTGGGTCATGTAGAATGCCACGATGTATGACCTTTACTGCGATCATGTAGAATGCCAGGATGTATGACCTTTACTGGGGTCATGTAGAATGCCATGATGTATGACCTTTACTGGGTCATGTAGAATGCCATGATGTATGACCTTTACTGGGATCATGTAGATGCCACGATGTATGACCTTTACTGGGATCATGTAGAATGCCACGATGTATGACCTTTACTGGGTCATGTAGAATGCCACGATGTATGACCTTTACTGGGTCATGTAGAATGCCACGATGTATGGCCTTTACTGGGTCACGTAGAATGCCAGTATGTATGACCTTTACTGGGGTCATGTAGAATGCCACGATGTATGACCTTTACTGGGGTCATGTAGAATCCCAGAATGTATGACCTTTACTGGGTCATGTAGAATGCCAGAATGTATGACCTTTACTGGGGTCATGTAGAATGCCACGATGTATGACCTTTACTGGGGTCATGTAGAATCCCAGAATGTAACCTTTACTGGGTCACGTAGAATGCCACGATGTATGACCTTTACTGGGTCATGTAGAATGCCACGATGTATGACCTTTACTGAGTCATGTAGAATGCCACGATGTATGACCTTTACTGGGATCATGTAGAATGCCAGGATGTATGACCTTTACTGGGGTCATGTAGAATGCCACAATGTATGACCTTTACTGGGTCATGTAGAATGCCACGATGTATGTCTTTTACTGGGTCACGTAGAATGCCAGTATGTATGACCTTTACTGGGGTCATGTAGAATGCCACGATGTATGACCTTTACTGGGGTCATGTAGAATCCCAGAATGTATGACCTTTACTGGGTCATGTAGAATGCCAGGATGTATGACCTTTACTGGGATCATGTAGGATGCCAGGATGTATGACCTTTACTGGGGTCAAGTAGGATGCCAGGATGTATGACCTTTACCGGGGTCTCGTAGAATGCCAGGATGTATGACCTTTACTAGGGTCATGTAGAATACCTCTCGCACGAGCTGTGCATCTGTAAATTGGTTGCACAGACCTGACTAGTTTTGAGTTGAAATCTATGCATATTAATTACCAAATTTTCTCCCTAATCTCAAAAACAAATTATTGCACTTCAATAAAACTTGGTGTACATGTGCCTTAGAAGAATGCTAAAAACATGTTTAGTTAGAGAATACTAATTGCTAATATGCATAATCATCATATTTCAATGAAATTTGGGGTAATCCACAGACATGATTAGTTTAATGTTGAAAACCATGCATATTAATTATTATTATGCTAATGAGGCACTTTCTGAATGGATAATGTTGATCTAACTCGTTTATATTAATTATTATAATATTGTTAGTCTGAATCTAGCAATCTGATTGTCTGAAGTAAGGACTTGTATGTCAGGCACTAGAAGACCTGTGATCACCCCCGAAACTGAATAAACTGGTTTAAATATCTAACTGAATCGAAATAGCACAAGTGTAAGCTCTGTACATTGTGAATACCAGTGTATGGCCGGCTGTGTGATCAACTGATCAAATCAGCCTAGGGAAACGAGGTACAAGTACTAATATACTAATATTATTTGGCTACTATGAGTTAGTAATTATATTCCTGTGCTAATTTACTATTACTATTTCTTACTATTATTATTATTACTATCACTATCACTATTACTATCACTATTACTATCACTATTACTAATACTATTACTATCACTATTACTATCACTATCACTATCACTATCACAATTACTATCACTATTACTATCACTATTACTAATACTATCACTATTACTATCACTATCACTATTACTATCACAATTACTATCACTATCACTATTACTAATACTATCACTATTACTATCAC